TTCAAAGAAAAAATAGCCCATAATGAAGCTAAAGCAAATGAAAAGTTGAGGTCTGAATTTGATAGATAAAAAAGAAGCAGAATAAACACAGGGTCAGCCCAGGAGCGGGGCCAGAAGTGTGGCCCAGAGCCGACTCAGAGATCGGGGGTCCCAAAAGTTGTAGAAAAGGCTTTGGTTACAGTGAACAGTGAAGCTGGAGCTCTGCGTGATGGGTCTGCAGGCAGAAACTAGACGGTAAGAGGCCGCCTCCCTCTCAGAAGTCTTTGTTAACAGTCAGAACACAGACTGCTTCACACCCACACTGAATGATGAGATGTCAGCTAGACGAGATGAAGAAAAGAAGTTGGAACATCACACAGTCTTTGCATCAAAATCCACTGAATATTAATACAAGATCCTTCAGCAAAACAAAAAGGGAGAGATTTGAGACAGGTCGCCCTGACAGGAGGCGTGACTTTGCAAAGGGAGCAAGAGCGAGTGGCAGTGAGCAAGTAGCAAAGGGAAGGGACGCAGGGCTGGCCCTTCACGCGGCGCTGCGTGTAGTCGAGGTGAGGTGACCTTCCAGGGCCCCACCAGTCTACACATATAGACCAAGGATGTCTTGGGAGAGCTCTGTATCACATGAAAAGACTACACCCTCGGACGCCACGGGTCCCAGGAGAATGCAACATACATGAAGCAGCATACATGAAGAATGCAACATACATGAATGTAACATACATGAAGCTCCTGGTCTGGAGCAAAGCCGCCCAGAAACCCCAATAACTGGCAAGGCCTCTGTTCTCCCTCACTCCTACATCCTGAGCAATCCTGGGTGGCCCTGCCTGGCGCTGACCCTCCCACCTCCAGAGGAGCTGTTCCAGATGTGAAGAAACTTGAAGGGATTTGGGAAGTGCACACACTCGCCTGGCGTTTCTCAAGCTGATGCGGGATTCAGCCACCTTAGCCACCAGCCACGGAGCCAGCCCCGTGTGTCTCTTACAAGACTGCTCAGGAGCCAAGCTGCGCAAGGCCCGGCAGTCCTGCCGGGCTGGTCCCCTCACACCCAGGTAAGACCCCCATTGCATGGTGGCTGTAACGCATCTGCAGTCAATACTGCAGCGTGAGGCCATGACAGTGACTGCTCCATGGCATGACGGCGTGGTGGTGATGGCTCTCTATGGCGTGACGGTGTGGCGGTGACGGCTCTCTACGGCGTGACAGCGTGGTGGTGACAGCTCTCGGCGTGACGGCGTGGCGGTGACGGCTCTACGGCGTGATGGCGTGGCAGTGACTGCTGTCAGCCCATGAGAGTTGCTTCGTACCTGTTATGAGTCGCCTCCATCATCTCGCATCTGGAGATTTCACAGAAAAATAAGTTAACCAAGGACTAATGAGAAGGACCAAGGTAAACTTTCCCCCTGCAACCACAGAGAACATGCCGGCACCCCACAGCTAACGAGCGCCCTGAATTCTTCAGATGCAGCGTCTCATTCCGAGGGCCAGAACTCTCATTTTAACTTTCCCTCTATAGTCAAGGCTATTGAAAAACCTCCTGGGACCAGCGGACGGCGTAATGATTATGTCACTCGACTCCCACAGTCAGCTGCAGTTCAAGTCCTGGACCAGCAGCTTAAAAGTCAGGCGAGGTGGGTGTGCCTGTGTGCCCAAGATCCTGAGAGGAGAAGGGATTGGGGCGTGGCCACCCCCAGTGAGTCTCACTTTCTGTCTGTCTCGGGTGAGTGCTCATGCTCTATAGCAAACATCTCTCTCTAAAAAAAAGCATTCAGGAACTAGAGGACGGGATGGCTGTATAAACCCAGGCAGCTCAGGACACGTGGGCTCTGCCGCCTTCAGCAGGGAGCTCTTGCTGGAGAGAAGACGGCGGCCTGAGGTACCGTGAGGCCAGCAGGTAACAGGAAGCCCAGGACGCACCCGCCAGGCCTGCCCAGGACCTGCACTCCCTGTGAGACTCGCCTTTTCCACTGCTTTTCCTTAAACTGAGGTTAACTTCACCCACCACAAAATTAGCTACTTTAAAGCAAGCTCAATTCCAGAACATTTTTTAAAAGAATTATTGTATTTAATTTTATTTATTCATTTATTTATTTCAATTTAACCAGAGAGAGAAAGGGAGAAACAAGCCACCAGGTCCAGGACTCAAACCGTGGTCAGCCATATGGGAGTGTCCAGCGCTTCAACCACCATGCCAGCTGCTGGTCCCCCAGTTCCAGAACATTTTAATCACTCCAAATAAACCCTGCATTTACCTGGCCATTTCTCCTCAATCCCCCTCAACCCCAGCCTCAGGCAACCGCTCGCCTGCTCCCCGGCTCTGCAGACTCCCCTGGACACGTCCCACAGACGGATCACATAAGTCCTCTCGGTCGGGCTTTCTCAGGAGGGCAGTGCCCCTGCTGGAGACAGAGCGGGAGAAGGGGAAGCAGCCCGGTGGGACGTGCTCACACCATAGTCCGTCCTGTCAGCACTCGGGCACTACGCACCCATTAGGTCCTTGGAAAATCCTGACATGCTTTTCCATGTTTCCTATGCAAAGCTGTGTCATGATTTCCCAATGACTCAATACATCCAGCATGTTTCCAGACCACCAGGACTGGGGCTTGACAGCAGCCAGCCATGTGGGATCCGCTCCCTAACGACCTGGCTTTTCTCCGTAGAACCACATTGTGAAGATTCATCCAGGGAGGGACCACCAGATAGTGGAACAGTTGCATCACTAGACTCCCCAGTTGTCAGTGGCAGATTGAGCCCTGGACCTGGTGGCTTAAAACATGCCAGGTGCATCTGTATGCATGCCCAAAATCCCAACAGAAGAATAGAGGAGACAGGATTATGGATGGCCGTCCCCAGAGTGGGGTGACTCTCACTTTCTGTCTCTCCAGTGAGCACACGTGTCCTATAGCAAAAATCTCTCTCTAAAATAAATAAATAAATAAATAAAATAATCTAGGCTAGCTGGTGATGTAGTGGTTAAGGCAGTGGGTCCCACATGACCGACTGTGTAGTTTGAGTCCCAGACCCAGTAGCTTGAAAATCACACTGGGTTGGTGTGTGTGCCCAAAATTCTGAAGGGAGAAATGGAAGATACGGGGATTATGGCATGGCCATCCTTCATGGGGATGCTTTCTCACTTTTTCCCTCTCTGGAGACTGCATGCACCCTATAGCCCCCTATAGCACCAGTTAGCAGCAGTTAGCACTGGTTAGCACAGGTTAGCACCAGTTAGCACTGGTTAGCACAGGAGCACAGGTTAGCACAGGTTAGCACCAGGTTAGCACAGGTTAGCACAGGAGCACAGGTTAGCACAGGAGCACAGGTTAGCACAGAAGCACACGTTAGCACAGATTAGCACCCTAGTATCCCAGCCCCA